CACAGAGGAGTCGGGTACGGTGGAATACCCCCGCCATCGGGCACAATCAATATGATCTCTGGTGGTATACATGCAGGAGGTCAAAGTGCCCGAGCCCGCAAGGCGTACGCTCGCTAGGTGATGACAGTAAATAAGAACCGGCCTCTTAAGCGTCCATTTGAGGAGGCAGAGTGGGAGAATACGGCCATAACGTTCAGCCCGTCAGATTACCAGCGAGCAGGAGAGCCTGACGTCGTGATGCCTCATGCGGATCCTTTTGTAGCAACAGTCCATATAGGCAACCATAACGTCAACAAGGTTTTCATTGACACTGGGAGCTCGCCTGATATCATGTATTGGAGCTGCTTTCAAAAAATGCAGCTGAACCCCAGCTCGTTACAAAAATATGAAGGGCCTATCTATGGGTTCGACAATCAACCTGTTCCGGTGGAGGGAGTAATTACACTTCCCATTTACGTGGGCTCAGAACCACGCTTCAGGATGGCTTCAGTCAGCTTCCTGGTTGTCAAAATGGAATCAGCCTTCAATGCCATATTAGGAAGGGCTACTCTGTGAGAACTGAAGGCTGTCATCTCACAACCCCATCTCTGCATGAAATTTCCAACGCCTCAGGGGGTAGGAGTGCTGAAGGGGAATCAGAGGATGGCCAGGACATGTTATCAGGATACGTTCAAGAAGGTTGAGCTCACTGTAGCCCCTGGAGGATCTGAAAGTAGTAGGCCGACTCGGCCCGGCCAGCAGACAATGAGCATATCAGACATTGAGCATAGACCCGAGGGAGTCGAGCAGAAAGCAGAGCCGGTAGAGCCAATAGAAACCGTTCCTTTAAACCTTGATGTGCCGGAAAGAACAGTCAAGATCGGCACCAAGCTCACAGAAGAAGAGCGAGCAGAGCTTCTGGAGTTTTTGAGGGTCAATCAAGATGTGTTCGCGTGGACTACTGACGAAATGCCTGGCATCCCAGCGGAGCTGACAGTCCACAAACTCAGTACGGACCCCACCAGAAGACCGGTGGTGCAGAAACAAGCTGCCATAGACGAGGAGATATAGAAGCTGCTACAAGTAGGCTTCATCAAGAGAGTGGAGTATTCTGAGTGGGTATCTAACCCCGTGCTTGTCAAAAAGTCGAATGGCAGGTGGAGGATGTGTATTGACTTCACCAACCTCAATGACGCATGTCCAAAAGACCCTCACCCCTTGCCAAATGTGGAGAAATTAGTGGAGCGAGCAGCTGGGCATGAACGGATGAGTTTTCTTGACGCCAGCTCGGGCTATCACCAGGTTCAGTTGCTATTGGACGATCAGGAGAAAACAGCTTTCTACGCTGGTGACGCTATCTATTGCTATGTGATGATGCCATTTGGCCTGAAAAATGCTAGCGCTACATATCAGAAGCTGGTACAAGTCATCTTTAAGCTCTAGATCGGCAGAAACATAGAAGTGTATGTGGATGACATGATAGTCACCAGCGTGCGAGCTGAAGACCATATAGACGACCTGAGTGAGACCTTTCAAAATTTGCGCCGAGCCCAAATGAAGCTGAACCCTCTGAAGTGCACATTCGTTGTAGAATCAGGAAAATTCCTAGGATACGTGGTATCCAAGAAAGGAATTGAAGTGAACCCAGAGAAGGTTTTGGTTGTTCAGCAGATGGAGCCACCCAAGACTGTAAAGGACGTACAACGCTTGACAGGTCGTATAGCCGCTTTGCACAGATTCATAGCCAGGTCGGCGGAAAGGTGCCTACCGTTTTTCAAAGCCTTGCGAGACCCCAAACACTTTCAATGGACCGACGAGTGCCAACAGGCGTTTGACGAGCTCAAACGGTATCTGGCATCTGCACCCTTGCTGTCTAAACCTGTGGAAGGGGAAAGTTTATACCTATACATAGGGGTTACAGGAGAAGCAGTGAGCTCGGTTTTGCTCAGGGAAGAGAATATGAATCAGAAGCCTATTTGTTACGTGAGCAAGGTTTTACAAGGTGCAGAGCAGAATTACCCATTAGCAGAAAAGGCTGCATTTGCCTTGGTTTACACAGCTCGTAAGTTGAGGGCTTATTTCCAATCATATCGGATCGTCGTCTATACCGATTTGCCATTGAGAAAAATACTCTAGAAACCTGAACTCTCTGGTCGACTTATTGGGTGGAGCGTCGAGTTGAGTGAATACGACCTCAAATTTCAGCCACGTACAACCATAAAGGGCCAGGCCATCGCGGACTTTCTGGTAGAATGCATTTCAGCAACTAAAGAAGAAAAAGCACCTGAGCACCCAGTCTGGGTTTTGTATATGGATGGAGCTGCTAGCATTGAAGGATCGGGTGCTGGGGCTGTGTTAGTGGGCCCAGATGGCTTTAAGTCTGAGCACGCACTGAGGTTTAAATTTCAAACGACTAATAACGCTGCAGAATATGAAGCCCTCGTTTACGGACTAAAGCTGGCGTCCGAGTTGAGGGTACAAAGCATTCAAGTGTTCAGCGACTCTCAGCTCGTCGTGGGCCAGGTAAATGGCAGTTGTGACATCAGGGATCCCCAGCTCGGTCGTTATGCCTCTGTGGTCAACAGACTGAAATCAGCATTTGTTCATTTCCAAATTGATAAAATACCGAGAACGGATAACCACCGAGCTGACGAGTTGTCAAAGCTGGCCTCTTCGCAAGACCTTAACCCTCAGAGATCGACAATTGTCGAGATACTCGACACGCCGAGCTACACTGATTCCGGAGTCGAATGTCAGTTGCTGAGCACAGATCCCTCCGCACCGAGCTGGACCACCCCGCTGATAAAATATCTGCAAAGTGGTGAGCTGCCTGAAGACCAGTCCGTTGCAAAATTGGTTAAACGCAGGGCGGCACATTTCACTTTGTTAGATAACCAGCTCTACAAGCGAGCAGCCTCAATGCCCCTATTACGCTGCCTTACTCCTTATGAAGCCGAGTACACTGTGAGGGAAGTTCACGAAGGAGTATGTGGCACACATATAGGCGGTAGGACTTTAGCTCGGAAACTCCTGAGGCATGGGTATTACTGGCCAACCATGGTTGAGGACGCGCAGAGCTATGTCAAAAAGTGCCCGACCTGCCAGTTCAACGCTGATGATATTCACATGCCAGGGGAAATGCTTTCGTCTCTCTCGTCTCCCTGGCCTTTTGCTCAATGGGGTGTCGACCTGCTCGGCCCTTTCATCAAAGGCAAAGGAGGCTGCACATTCCTGGTCGTTGCAGTGGATTACTTCACTAAGTGGATAGAAGCTAAACCATTATCCACAACAACAGAAAGGAAAATAGAAGAATTCGTGTTCAATTCAGTATTGTGCAAGTTCGGCATACCCAAGCGAATTATCGCCGATAATGGACCACAATTCCGAGCAACAGCACTGAGATCGTT